GACCTCCTGACCAAACAAAGACCCAATAGTGCTGCTTTTCGCGATTCTTGAAATAGATACCTGCCATGTTTTGTATCCTAACGGAAACAAAGATAATTTTTTCAGAAATGGATTAAATCCGAAATATATTTAATTTATTTGCTTAAACGTTAATTTTAATGGATACTAATATTTGAGAATATGCTCTATTTTTATTATGAAACAGTATATTTATTCATTTATTTATTTATTTACACCTGCCGGCCTGGAATATGAGTATCCATTATAAATAACGTTTAAACATACAAAATTAAAAAATATGTCGATTTAATCCATTTTCTAACACACACACACACACAAATAAACACACACAAACATATATATATATATATATATATATATATATATATATATATATATATATATATATATATATATATATATTGTCATCCAAAGACAGACTGTTTCGTTGTATCACAGCTCTTCAATGCGGCTAGACTGAGGACTCGATCCGCCTTACCGAAGAGTCTTGCATTATCAGCCGTAATAGTCACTGTATACAAACCCACTCTTCCTCCGAAATAAATTTTTCAGGAGCCTATATATTGTCATCCACAGACAGACTGTTTTGCTATATCACAACTCTTCAGTGTGGCTAGACGTCCGGTTGCCTCTAGCTAGGATCGAAACCCTGCTGAATTCACCTCGGAGATTCTACCACTAAGCTGTCGGCGCACGACAGGGATGAAGGTGAATTTTAAGCGTATTTATTTTTAGATAAATGCACAGTGACCGAGAGGACTCGATTCGCTTTACCGAATAGTCTTGCATTATCAGATGTGAAGAAACTCACAAATCATATAACTTGTTTAGCATTCTGTTCAATTACCACTCCAGCTAATCTTTTTTTTTATTAGGAAACGACATTGACTAGTTTGTATAATATGAATCCATTAACATCCGCTCCTGTTTAACGTCTGTGCTGCCATTGAATGCCAATCTACAGGTCATGACCCATTTATGAAAAATTATTTCTTAATTTTTGCCTTTTTTTTAAAAAATATTACGTAGGTCATATACGATTGGTTGATGTGAGTAAAGCCCACAAACTTTACAATCCTTCTCTCTTTTTCGTAAAATGTGGTTGCATTTTGCTTCTTAAATCTAAATAAATCGTACACGCTCCAGTAAGTTACAATCGCCTGATGAGATGCATTGATGCGCATCGAAAAACGACTACAATTATGTACCGATTTTGACATTTTTTATGTAATATCCCAATCTATCTATCTATCTATCTATCTATCTATATATATATATATATGTATATGCGGTACTTAGTGGATAGTGCTCAATATCCGTGATAGCGCTAGTTGCATGGATCATTGTTTGTAACCCCATGTTTCACGCTTTAGCGATCGTCAGACAAATGATAGAGAAAGTGTTAAAACCGGACTTACAAAGTACTATCCATGCAACTGAATATATATATATATGTGTGTGTGTGTGTGTGTTTGTGTGTGTGTGTGTGTGTGTGATGTTTCTTTTTTATTAAAACATTTAAATCTCTGTCTTCCCCTCTTATTGTTAAAACTTTTTCCTTTTTTTTTTCTCTTTTTTTCCCCTTTTTTTTCTTTTTTCTTTTCTTTGTGTCAGGATAAATTTATACTCAATTTATTCTTGTAAAATTTTGGGTCTGAAGAGATGAGGTCCTGATCCCAAGAAATAAATTATCACCTAAATGGATTTTTAAGGACCCCAATTTCATTTTTTGGAATGATGACATTGTTTTGCATTCTACCGTTTATTTTGTAACGTTTATTTTTACTAATTATTGGGTTTAGTTGATTAATTACGAGGTTATTTTTGTAAGTGTTGTGGCCAAATAAATGGTTAAAGAAATAACAAGAAAAGTGTCACAGATATATCATATATTAAACAGTAAGTACAACAGAAGAGTATTACACGACTTGTGAGTGTGTGTCGTTTGACCCCGCGTTCAATCTATACGACTGTTAATATTCAACAGCCACACCACGAGGGATGTATGTGGCACAAGGCCGTTTTTACCGTGGGTTCTCTGAGCCCGTAGGCTCGGCCAAAAATATTCCCTTAGAAGCCGCATAATCGGGTTCAGGGACTGTCTACCTCCCCTGCCCTGCAGCAAAGGCTCGTCCGAGTTCCTCTCTGCCGAGGCAGAGAGTTCGACAGTTGAACAATCTTGTCGACTGTTCCCCCAAGTGTTGCAGATATATCATATATTAAACAGTAGGTACAACAGAAGAGTATTACACGATTAGTGAGTGTGTGTCGGTTGACCCAGCGTTCAATCTATTCGACTGTTCCCCCAACACCTTCTATCCTACTAATCTTATAGTAGGCGGAAGAGTCTAACATGGACTCTTTAGAGGGAGTACACCACAACAGGGGTTTCACCGCGTTAGTCTGACTCTCATCCTCGTCACCAAGATGTTTTGACCAAGTAAATAGTTAAAGAAATAACAAAACAATTGTTGCAGATATATCATTTATTAAACAGTTGGTACAACAGAAGAGTATTACTCGACTGGTGTTCAATCTATTCAACTGTTCCCCCAAGGCCTTCTCTCCTACTAATCTTATAGTAGGCGGAATAGTCCAACATAGACACTTTAGGAGGGCTCCACAACAGTAAGGATAATAAGAAATGGCAGTGAATACATTAAAATTATGACGTTTTATTTTTCTATAATCATGAGTCAAAAATAAAAAGAAATAATCTATTTTTAACTAATTTGGTTCTGGCTGTAGTGTCATACCCTACGCACCTTAAAGCAACTCTTACGGTATATTCAGCTGAGGTTATTCATTACGCTATATACGCGATCCGTAATCAAAACCCGTAATCATGGCATGCACTTAAAGTTATTTGAGGCGCATTCATTCAATTACGTTTCTCTTTTGCCTGTCCTTTGATCAGGTCATCCATGGCCTTTATATTTTTGTTAAGCCGCCTTCATGAACATATATCACGGAAAACTTCGGTCTTTGTAGGAAAGTCTTCACATGTCAAAGCTCTGACTTTTCAAACATGACAACAATAGTGCATTGATGATGGATATTGATTCCTTCTATTAGAAAGGTCACCGACCCTGGTTAAACTATGAACTAAGTGACACAACAACCTCACTTCAACGCCCAATCTACGTGAACGCAACGATATTTTATTGTTATTGAACACTGACGCGTCAACGAAGATAACAGCCGGAAAGCATTACCGGATATGACTGCCGGAAAGCATCATTGGATATCGCTAAAAAAAAGAGCTGTGAAAGAAAGAAAACGTCTCTATCCCTACTCGCTGTTTGCCTTATTTGACTGGAGATAAAAATTAAATCTATAAAGAAAATACCAATAAGATTCAAGACGATCGACGATCTCTTCATTTTTGTTTTTGCATAATGATAATGATAAAATTTGGCGTTTATTTATAAAGAACCGTCCTGGGTATGATGATAAACTACATCCGCCTCTTGGGTATGACGATAAACTACATCGGCGTCCTGGGTAAGACGATAAACTACATCGGCGTCCTGGGTATGACGATAAACTACATCGGCGTCCTGGGTAAGACGATAAACTACATCCGCGTCCTGGTAAGACGATAAACTACATCCGCGACAAGGGTGTGACGATAAACTACATCCGCGTCCTGGGTAAGACGATAAACTATACATCAGCGTCCTGGTAAGACGATAAACTACATCCGCGTCCTGGGTCAGACGATAAACTACATCCGCGTCCTGGTAAGACGATAAACTACATCCGCGTCCTGGTAAGACGATAAACTACATCCCTGACAAGGGTGTGACGATAAACTATATCCGCGTCCTGGGTAAGACGATTCTTAAATTCTTCTGCTGGGAAAAGATGGAAGTTTATTGATATTTCCTTTAATATCGCTGCTCAAGGTGTAAAGCATGGTTTCCTTAACCAGTGTTTATAGATGTTATTCTTCCATTTGGCAATGATGAGAAAACCATGTCCGTAATATTTACTATTTCCAAAGCTATTAACTTGTGCTGTCTAATTGCAATATTACTATCAAGTCCTCCTTTGATTTGGTTTCTAGGAGACAACCTACATCAATATTATAAATATTGACATCCAGTGAAAATTATTCCAGTTTTTCCTTTTTCCAAAGCTCATCCAATATTAAATGCTTCGATGATAAAATCTTCATATGCAACTGGAGGAATCTACAATGTTTTAAAGAAGAACTGGCCAAGTTTTAATGGCTGGCCGCTGCAGATGTCATAACCTTCTCTGGCGAAAATATCATATCACTTATCTATAAAAAGCAGAATAAAAGGGTCTGCTTAGATTCCTATAACTCTACGCAAAAGATGGCGTAAAAATTATTCGAATGAGCCTGGAATTTAGTCAGAAAAATGTAAATAATACAAGTAATCATAATACCTCATCTCAGAGATATAGATAGATGTTTAGGTCTTGTCAATGGATCTAGCCAAAGTCTTTATCCAACATCCGAATCGTTGTGAATATGGCAATAAAGCTGAGGATAACAGTCCGAATAATGTAAATAATGTAAGTAATCATAATACCTCATCTCAGAAATATAGACAGATGTTTGGGTCTAGTCACTGGATCTAACCAACGTCTTTATACGTCGAAAGTTGTGAATATGGCAATGAAGATGGGGATAACAGTCCGAATAATGTAAATAATGTAAGTAATCATGTAATAATCTCAGTGATATAGACAGATATTGATAAAACCTTGTTGTCAATCTAATATTGCTCTTAAATTCATAAAGTCTAGATACCATAGAGTAACTTTCATTAGTGCAATTGCCATAAACATATTTATAGAATTATTTATTTATATTTATAGGTTATCATTTTCTTCGCTACCAGGCCAACGGGCTGTGATCAATGTGTAATATCTGTTTCCCTCTTCTTTAATGGTAATGGTAATATTGATGTTTTTTTTTTGTTTTTTTTGTTTTTTTTTTACAGAAGTCAGGTATGGTGGAAAGATCGAAAAAATGAAAGTGAAAGAAAAGTAAGAGAGAATAAAAACAACGTAGATAGAGAAATAACAATTGAGTGAAAAAGAGAGAAAAATTGACCACAATAACCCCCCCACCCTAAAAGTGGGGGAATAAGATGCCAGCTAAAGCAAGAGGAAGAAAGTTTAACATCAAAAGGTAACGTAGAGAAGCAAATAGCAGGAGAGGGAAAGAGAAGCGGAAATCTAAGAAAAGTAAGGTAAAAAATAAGAGAGAGTAAAATAGAGAAAAATAGAAGTTACATAGAG